CACACCTCCTCCTCCTCCTCCACCTCCTCACACCTTCTCACTCCTCCTTCACCTCCTCCACCTCCTTCACCTCCTCACACCTCCTCACTCCTCCTTCACCTCCTCCACCTCCTTCACCTCCTCAGTCCTCCTTCACCTCCTCCTCCTCCTCCACCTCCTCACATCTCCTCACACCTCCTTGTACTTCTTCGCAACTCCTCACCACCTGTACGACTCGCCGCGTGGAGTGGAGGCTTCCCGTGCCACACGGTGGCCAGTGTGGTGATTCTCAAAGTGGGATTCCGGACACGCTGTCAGGGTCCACTTTGGTACTTATCCACGAGACAGTGCTCTTTCACTCATGCCACTGTGAAGCAAAGTAGAGTTCGAGGCTGCGGACGTGTCATTGCACAAGTACCTGGCACCACAGAGCCCCTGCATCTCTGGTTTGTTTTAGCAAATACTGTTATTTTTAATTAAACATATGTTAATGTGATGGTGTAATTTTTAAGTTTATTTATTTTTTTAGTAATCTCTGCACCTTCAATGGGGCTTGAACTCACAGCCCCACGATCAAGAGTCACGTGCTCTTCTGACTGAGCAGCCAGGTGCCCCAATGTCATGGGTGTATTGTTAATGTGTATTGTCATTTTTAGATGTATTAATAAATGTTTTTTAAGTCTCACTTTAAATGTGTAATAAGGTTAATATCCATAGAGCCCATAATACCAGAAGCCAGGGGGCTCTGGGGCCTCCCTGTCCCCGCAGCCTCCCCACGGCCGCGTGCTGATGCTGACGTTACAGGGGAAATCTTGGCTGTCGTCTGTAAAATGCAGGCACTGCAGGTACTTCTAAGGCTCTCGTGAGGCTTGAGCGACGCACAATCCAGATAAAGTGGATTACTCTCTTAATGTTGCAGAAAAGGACCGAAAGCAAATAGCATCTGAACAGTCTCCTGAAGGTTTTCAACTCCCAGACCCTCTCACTGTAACAGCATCATAGAAGAAACGTAGGTACTTCTGGTTATCGACCAAGTTTTCCACGTCTCAGGAAGACGTGAGGACTGTAGCCAGAAGCCGATCTCTGTGTTTTAAAATTCAGACTCCGTATTAGTTCTGGCTGCTTGACTATTTATGATAGAGATCACATGAAGTCGTTTGAATGAAAATACAGCAACGAAGCAAGTGGGAAGAAGGTGTGATTTAGAAAAGCAGAGCATTGATCAGTTTGCCTCTGGAAATGTCTGGGAACAGACGGTAAAGCAGTATGTGCCTCAGTGAGACCAGGGCATTGATGAGTTAGTGAGAGAAAGGAACCTTTCTTAGAACAATGGCTGGTTTCTGGACCCTGTGGTGTGATTACCAGTACTGCCTTAACTAGCTGGTAAGTCTGTGGGGACGAGCTGGGGAGCACAGTGTGTGCTCATTTTGGGGATCCCTGTGGGCCCCCAGCCCCTGGGGAGTAGGCTCAGCACCCCACGGACGGCATGATTTTCACTTCCCTTCAAACCTGTGCAGCACTTGCCCCCTCTAATCTTAGTTGTGCCTGGATATAGTCGTGGTTCTTTATTTTAGCGATTTATGTATTTTCTGCCTACCTTTTATTCGTTCTGGAAATACTTTAAGGATTGTTATAATAAAAAGTCTGTTCCTACACTTGACTCTGCTACAACAGTTGGAGAAAAAATTACCGTGAACTCCCACATGGTGGACAGTACTGTGCTATCATTCATTTGAAACTTGAAAATCAAATAACTGTTAGCATCGTCTGGTGACAGGTGTTCACTACACTCGTGAGCACAGCATCACACAGACTGGGTGAATGGCCATGCTCTGCAACCGACACTGATGTAACCATGTGTCACCTGTAACTTTTGAAAAACGGAAATCAATGTAGTTGGAAAATGAAATGGCACAGGTAAAAAATACGGACAGTTCTGAGTACATATATGTGATTTTGTGTAACCGACCTTTCAAATAAACCAGTAACTTCTGGGACTTCAAGGTGAAACATACTCGTGTGTTTTAGAGACAGGCTCTTGCGGTCTGGAGAAATACGGTGTGAAACTGACAACCCGATCCCAGGATGCTGGTACTCCCGGAACATAGTTACAGCCCCGTTGCAACTGACAGTTACAGTTCACAAAATCCCATGCAAATGACAAGTCACATCTGACGCTCTTTCTTGACTCTAGTTGCTTTTCCGTCGCATCCCTGATTCTGGAGGTGAGTTTAGCTGGTTTTCTTACTGGTACCTGTCACCAGCTCTTCGATTCAACCACATAGAACGTGTAACAGATTCTTTAACAGCCAGCGGGCCACGACAGTGCAGGTGATACAGGCCACCCTCCCACGCTCCCCGCCAGGCCAGGCCACTCTTTCCAGCCTCCAGTTTCCAAGGGGCTGAAGGGTTCGAGTAGGAGAGGTGGCTGAGAGGGGGCGTCATCTGGATGCTTGAGCAGAGTCTGAAGAGCTGAGTCCTTGGGGGACGCTTGCTCCTCAGCTGCTCTGGGGACAGCAGCCTACAGGGGACAGGTACGGGAAGTCCTCGCCCCCAGCAGGGGTGCTTACTGGGCCTTTGGGGAAAGACAGCAGAGGAGGGCCCTTCTGATCTGGGCAGGTGATGTGATGGCAGGCACCCGGCATTCACTTTTCTCCTTGGAGGTCAGGCCAACTTCCGGCTTCCCAAGTCTCCATGCTTCCTGGCTGGGACAGGATGTGGGGGGACCTGGAGAATCCCAGGGACAGTCTAGTCTGACGTTTGTGGTGGTTTGGTGAATCTCACTATCTCTTCTTGGGGGAAAGTGCCCAATCTCTGCTAGTGTGGACACGGGTGTGGGTAATAGCCCCTCACCCTTGCCTGGGACGTTCCTTCCCTCCCTCGGTGCCGGCTCCGATGTCTGTCTGGAATTCTGTTGCTGGGGTTGAGTCTCCTCTCCTCCGTCCACTCAGCCCCCGTTTCCTAGTGGAAGGGATATGGTGACAGGAGCCAGGGGAGTGCCTGGCAGGCATCATGAAATCGCCGCCCCCCCACCTCTGACTGCCCGGCAGGACTTAGGAAGCAGAGCGAACCCCTTCACTGACCCCACTGCAGCTTCGAGTCTCTGGGTTCCGAGCCCCGGCCCTGGAGTATCCCGTTTGCTGGCCTCCTCGGTGTGCGCGCCTGCCCTCCCGCCCCGCGCTCTCCGCGCAGGACACTGTCCGCCGCTGCCGCCTGACCGCCCGGCCCGCGGCCGCCTAGAAATACAGGATCCCGGGATGAAACCCACGGGCGCTTCTAGTACCCACAGCAGAGATTTGTGACCCAAATGCCCAGGCGTACCAGCACCCGAGCAGCGGGCAGTGGGGGGCTAACCTGAGGCCCCGCAGGCAGGGGAGAGAGAGAATGCAGCTTGTCTGGAAGCGGCGTTTGCACATTTTGGGGAGAACGTGTCTGCAGAGGTGGGGCAGGTTTGCGTCTGCAGGTGGGGATTGCGGGGCCTCAGCCTACCTCCGCACCCCCGGCTGGGGTGAGGGCTGCTTCTGGCAGCCCGCCGAGTAGCACCCTTGCATGGGGCCCTGACCTGGGAGCGCAGGGACGGGGCGGCTGGCGCCCTCCCAGCCTGGAGGTGCTGCCTTGGGCGGGCGCGGCTGTCACAGCGCACTTGGAGCTCCCACACTTGAATGCTCTCAGCCCACCTGGCCCAGAGCCCGCACACGGGTGGTGTTTCCCAGGTCAGCCTGGAAAGCTCTTCCTCTGGAAGCATATTTCCTGGGAAGCTAAAGGGTCGAGAATTCTTCTCCAGCGATGCCAGGCCGCTTGCAGACACTGACTTCTGACGCGTGGCTGTGTAACCAGTTACTCATCTGCATAGTGGAGGAATGTGGTCACGTCTCTAGGAGGAATGCGAGAGCAGTCACCGTGTCTCACTCATCCGAACCACCGGCACAGCAGCAGGCACATGGCGTTGCCCAGGAGTCCCTCGTGAAAAGAACTCAGTGTGCACCGTGTCCCGTGTCCTTCTCGTGAGGTCACTGAAACCGGGCTCTTGCGTATTGATAAACGGCAGACGAGCGCCTCTCAGCAGTGGCACCGACGCTGTAAACGGGGAACTAAGAGGAGCCCCAAGTGCCCTCTCCCCGCGCCATCGGGCACCGCAGCTTCCTCCGCAGACAGCGGAGCGCGGGGCCCGCCTGGCCGGCCTCTTAAAGGCAGCAAGCGGTTGTCCAGGACTTTCCCTCCACCGGGAAGGGGCTCCGCCCAGGACTTAGGACCCAGCAGGCCCTCCCGCCTCCGCCCCTCCCCGCCTCGTGCGGTCCCGGGGGGGGGGGGGGGGAGCCCGGTCCCGCCCCGCGCTGTCCCGGCTCCGTGGCGGGTCGCTCGCAACAGTCGTGACACCAGCCGGGCGCTCGGCTCCTCCTGCTGGCGCGTCCCGCTCGGCCGGTGACTGTCCCCGCGGGTCATCGGACCGAGGAGCCCGGGCGTGAGCAGGCCGGGGATGCCGCGGCTGGACGCAGGTGGGTGCGGCGGGAGCGCGCGGCGCCGAGCCCGGCCACCCGCGGGGTGGGGGTGGGGGTGGGGGGCCGGGTCCCCGCGCCCCAGCCGCTGAGAGCCGCCCGTCCGTCTCCTTTCAGGGCGCCGATGACCCGCCGGCTCCGCGACAACATGCCCTTCCCGCCCGCGCCGGCCCCGGGGGCCCCGGCCGCGCGCCCCCCGCCCCGCAGGCCCAGCGCCCCCCGGAGGGCTGCGGCCCCCGCGCCCGCCCAGCCCGCGCCCTCGCCGCCCGCCGCCGACAGGAGGCGGCCCCCCGACGGCGCGCGGTCCGGCTCCCGGCCCTCCGCCACCCTGAGGAGGCCGCCGCGCGCCCCCGCCTGGCCGGCCCGCTCCGGCCGCAGCCCCGCGAGGGACGCAGCCCCGGGGACGCGGCCCCGCGCCGCCGCCGCCGCGCCCTCGTCGCCCAGCCTGCCCGCCGAGCCCGTCCTGCTCCGCCCGAGGCGCGGCGGGGAGAGGCGGCCGCCCAGCGAGCGGCGCGGGCAGGACGACGCGGAGCGCGAGGGGGCGGCGCGCGCGGCGGACGAGGGCCTGGTCCGCAGGTGCACCGAGTGGCTGCGCGGCGTGGAGGCGGCGGCCGCCGCGCGCGACCTCTCGGGGCCCCTGGACGCGCTGCCGCACCTGAGCGCGCTGTGAGCGGGGGGTGGGGGCCGCCGCGCCTGCGCCCACTTCCTGGGTGCCCGAGAGCCTGGCGCCCCCGACACCCACCCTCCGGGCACTGGTGCGCCCGCAGCGCCTGGTGAGGACCCGACGCTCTCAGCGGACTTCACGAGGACGCGGTCCTCCTGGCCGGACTCGGACGGCTTCGCCTGCCGGGCGCGCACCCCTCCCGGGCCGCTGGGGGCCTGAGGGCCTGGCCTAAGGCGCGGCCTCGCCCGACCCCCAGGCCCACGCCCTGTCCAGGCTCCCCCCGTACCCCCAGCCTGGGCAGCCAGCCTTCCCCGGCCCCACCCGGGTGGGCTCTACCCCACAGGTTTGCCTCCTCTGCAGCTCGTGCCTCCTCCCCCCTCCCCAGGCCCCACCTCCCAGATGCCCTTAGGGCTCAGGGTGTCGCCCCTCGTTCCTCACCCCTAAGTTTTTCGGTCCCAGAGGCCCTCTGGCTGGGCCAGCGGTTTGTCTGTGTCGCTCTCTGTGGGTGTCCTGGTGCGAGGGGCGGGCGACTGCCTGGAGGAGGGCGGCTGTGTGCACAACTGGTCTTGGGGTGCATTCATGATTGGGTTCCTCCAAAATAGAAGACACGTCTGGGGGTTGGAAAGCTGGGAAGTTCAAGTTAACCTCATTTTCAAGCTCGGAAGGGGAAGAGGGTGGTATCACCAGCAGTCACTCCATGGTGAGGCTGCGAATGGAGACTGCTCCGTCCACACTGCAGGACTCCGCCAGGGCCCCGCTGTGCCGGCCACGCACCCCTCTGCCGGCCACGCACCCCTCTGCCAGCCGAGGCTGCCGGCGCACACTTGCCCCCACACACAGCCACACGCACGCTCACACCCCCAGCACCTTCTCATGAACACTCTCATGGGGGCGCCTGGGCGGCTCAGTCCCTTAAGCATCCGCATTCAGCTCAGGTCATGATCTCCGCGCTTGTGGGTTCCAGCCCCGCGTCGGGCTCCGTGCTGACAGCTCCGAGCCTGGAGATGCTTCCGATTCTGTGTCTCCTTCCCTCTTTAACTGACCCTCCCCCCATATATAAATAAACATTTAAAAAAAGAAACATGCTCCTGGTCACACACCCACACAGCCTCACACGCATGCACACATACCATCATATGCACAAGTGTCCTCTGAAGCACAACTACAGGAATGGACTCGAAAGGCTGGGTCCAGATGTGAGTGGAGTGAAGGGCAGCCTCTGTTGGGGTTCATTGTTTTTACCTGAAGTGGTGCCCGCTTCTGCGATGCTGAAAGGCTGACCCCAGGGGGAGGGGAAAATGCAAAAACTGTGTGCAGACAGGACAGAATGTTCCAGGCCAGAGGAGCAATATCTTTGAGGGAGGAAGTGGGGGTCCCTGGGGGCAGATGTGTATGTTTCCAGTGTTTTTAATCACTATATAAAGATCAGTGACATGGTGGCTTTGTACAGGGGTGTTACTCTTTTTTTTTTTTTTTTAAAGAGAAAATTCCTACTTATTTGAATAAAGAAAGGGTTAAAACTCCTCGGCCTTTTGGGAGCCACCCATACCCTCCCTGCTAACTCCAGGCTGATTTCTAGATACTTCTCCATGCATCTGATTATACTTAACTCTAAGGTTGAGAAAGAGAAAAACGTCATCATCAGATAGGCTGGTCACAGAAGAGTAATATATAACCTCAACTTTTGACTGATTGTGTTAAAGTCAGTAAGTAGTTGAATGTTTGTCTTGTTGGACTTTAACGAGGGAAGTCTTAATTATATTTTACACGGAGGCCTTACAGTTTTTAGAAACCAGTCTGGGTTTTTTGTTTTGTTTTGTTTTGTTTTGTTTTTATCTCTGTTCTAGTCTCTCTGTCTCCCTCCCTGTCACTAGGTGCGAACCGGGTCAGCTAGAGAGCGTTTAATTCAACAGGAGTGACGTCAGCCCACAGATGGGTTGCAAAACCAAAGCCCCTCCGCCCCGAATAGCTCATCTTTTCTGACTCCTGTTTGAATGCATAGAGCTCGATTGTCTTTTATTGAAAATGAATGTATCAACACCAGGGAAGCCTGGGTGGCCATCTGGCTGAGGTGGCACGGGGACGAGTCTGTGTAGACGCTCAATTGGGGACAGAATGCTGGCTCTGGATGCCCGCCAGCAGCCGAGCGGTGAGCGTGAGTCCCGGGCGGGCAGGGCAGTAACTGCTCTCACGAACACTCAGTGTGGATACGGGGAATCGGGAGACCCAGGGTTAAAGACGCTTATTCCTAAAGTAATCGACTTTCCAAAGCATCGTTCCACGTCTGCCCCTGTGCGTGAGTGTCCCTTGGCCCGTTGCCGTCACAGCGCAGGGGTCCGTGTGCCCCTGTTCCTTGCCTCCCTCTCCTCACCCTCTTCCTTCTCTGGGACCCTCCCCGCTGCTCTTGCCTGGCCACAGTGCGATTCTGAGCTCTTTTCCCAGTGGCGTTTGCCCAACAGACATTTCCGTGCCTTGCTCTTCACTGTCAAAGCAGATGAGCGAGCGGAACATCTCTGGTGCTCTGGTTGATGACCCTCCGAGAGACAAGTTCCACCCGTGACACCGAGGTCTCTTCGTGTTGTTACTGACATTTTGAGAAAGTTTTCTGAGTCCCTCTGCTGCAATTTCTTAATGTTTAAATAAAAGAGAAAGTCGATGCTTTGTGTTTTCTTTTTGAGGAGGATTTTAAAAACCGGTCCCAGGGGCGCCTCAGGGTGCTCAGTGGGTTGAGCATCTGACTTCAGCTCAGGTCATGGTCTCACAGTTGGTGGGTTCGAGCCCCACGTCGGGCTCTGTGCTGACAGCTCAGAGCCTGGAGCTGCTTCAGATTCTGTCTCCCTCTCTCTGCCCCTCCGTGCTCTCTCTCTCACACACAAAATTATCAATAAACATTAAAATATTAAAAGCTGGTCGGGAAGAGATTACCGAGGTATTTATGTGAGGGGCCCTCCTGCGTCAGTGCCTACCCCACCTCCCAGAGAGCCTGGGGTTCACGGCTTGGTTGAGGTTCATTGGCTTTGAACACTACCGGCAATGACCAGGTTTTTAAGAATTCTAATGGTAATCAAATGGTTGTTTTCATTTTAAAAATAATGTTTGTTTATTTTGAGAGAGAGAGAGAAGGTGGGGGAGGGGCAGAGAGAGGGAGAGAGAGAGAGAATCCCAAGCAGGCTCCGCACCATCAGCTCAGAGCCCAATGTGGGCTCAAACTCACAAATCGTGAGATCGTGACCTGAGCTGAAGTCAAGAGTCGGACATTTAGCTGACTGAGCCACCCAAGTGCCCCGTGATCAAACACTATCGTAACAAAGCTATTTGGCAACAATACTTAACCTCGTGATGGGTCACAAACCCCATGCACGTTATATTCCAAATACCCTCCCAAGATGTACCGCATGACCACAAAAATTTGCGTGTATTTTAAGAAGCTCATAGACCCCAGACTCAACCCCTGTATACGCTCACTGGAACACTTTTCTTCTGCTGAAAGTAATTTCAAAATGGTAGGTGACACCAATCGGAAGTTGAAGGGTCAGTTTGAACAATGGCAAGAGCTATACTATTACTAAAAAGGATGATAGCACCTAGTAAACGTGGTTTGTCTTTTTTATTACCACATATGTCATTTCCTAGTGCTGTCGTCCTTGCCGAGTGGGCCCCGTCTGAAATACTGGGGAGATATTTCAAGACACAGACGATCCAGATCCCAAATCCCGAGACCCAAGTTCAGCAGGTGTGAGACGGGGCCCAGCGGGAGCTGGTGTGCACCTGGGTTCGGGACCACTGCTCTAAAGTGCGACGTACAGGGCGGGACTCGGGGAACTTACCAGGTGTGTTCTGTCATAAAAGACCCCAAGTGTCAATTTCAGAACAATCCTTTCCTCGGGGCCATACCCGCTTCCCAGCTGCACGTTCCTCCTGGCACGGAGGGCGTAACGAGGCAACCAAAACAATGAAAGTTCTCACCGGTAAGTGTTGGCACTCGGCTCAGAGTGCCCACGGGAACCATGGTGCTGGGAACGCTGGCCGCCCCCTCTGGGCGCCTTGCCTCAGCCCGCCTACCCCAGAGTCCCTTTCGTTCCCCCGCTGGCTGATGTCCCAGATCTTCCCTGGTCTGCGTCTGTCGTCATAGTTATAAGTGCTTCCCAGATACACGCACTCCATGGCTGTACACTCCGTGGCTGTACACTCCGTGGCTGTACACGCCGTGACGTTCCCAGAGGGGCTGGGGAGGGGGCGCTGTGAGGACTGCAGACGCCTGCACTTACGCACTGGAAACCATCTCCGAAGGGTGCGTGTTGTCCGGTATTTCCTGATTTTATGCACTGACTGTAATAAACAGTTACAGAACATTTTACGTTAAGCAGGACAGTATTCCAGCAGACCCAGAAAAATTTGTTTGTACGGCATGGGGGGTACCCAAGATGCAAAACTAGTTAGGAACTATTCCCTGTCTAACTGCGTGAATCCATCTGTTAAAAGCCGTAATTTAGGAGACCGTCTGCCAGGAGCAATGACTGTGGTTGAACAGCACTGAATTTGGGGGCGAGATCATTCAGCCTCTAACATGGTCTATGATTTTGGGTGCTTTATAAGCCATTTATTTTTTTTTTTTGAAGTTTTTATCATACTTTATTTGAGAGACAGGGTGAGCAGAGGAGGGGCAGAGAGAGAGAATCCCAAGCAGGTGTCTGTGCAGAGCCTGATGCGGGGCTCGAACCCACAAACAGTGAAATCATGACCTGTGCCGAAGTCTGGAGTCAGACGCTTTACACACTGAGCCACCCAGGCGCCCCAAGGTCATTTATGTATGACAACAAGATACGATCATCAGTTCCCTCCTAACACCTGCACACATACAACTCGGGAGGCATGAAGATGTAAGAAAACAAGTTTTTACTGAAATCTGAAAAAAAAAAAGAAGTCCCTTCTTTGTATTTCTGTACACAAGGATTTGGGGGTGAAGAGATTGGCCCAGCTGGTCGGAAGGGCTCAAGCTGGGCTGTAACTCCCGTGTTAACTCGTGTCCTGAGGTTTCTGGTGAGGTCTTCAGCAGTGGGTGCGTGGCGGCGGGAGGTGATGTGCAGGGGGAGGCGCGGGTTTGGTCTGGGTTCGCCCCCTGCACCGCCGGGCACCCTGCCAGGGCACCCTGGGTACGCACCCCCACACGCGCTCTTCTCCGCCGTCTCCATCCCGCTTTCCTTCTTTCCCACCTCTCCTCCCCTTCCTTCTCGGGGCCACTTCCTGGCTCCTTTCCTCGTTCCTAAAAGTCCTCTTCCAGGGCTGCTGCTGCTTCTGCCAGGCTGGTGCTGCCCGTTGTTTCTGGTCGAGTCCCAGTTGTTTTCCCGTCTCTGTGTCGGTGGAGGCCGCCCCAGGAAGAGGTGGGGAGAGAGGGCTGCAGGCCTCTCGTAGGGGGAGAGAGGAGCCCGCGGGGCTCAGGCTGGCCTGGACCCCTTCCTTTTCCTGTCTCTGCACCCGCAGGTACACATGCACGCACGCGTGGATTCACATGCACGTGGACAGGCACCCAGACACACGTGCACACTCTCACATGCACACACACGCTGCTGTCGAAGCAATTATGTGAGCAGTTGCACTTGAAATGACGGACTTAATCTTAGGAGACACTTGAAGTCACATTCGGTAGCGGCTCTGAAAACGCCGAACACTTACGAGCTGTCACCTTGAGAAATGCTGCGCCATTTCCCGTCGCCGGTACAGAATGTTGAATGTTTAGGAGGAAACTTTGTCCGTTCCTCACACACACCCTCTCTCCAGTTCTGTTGGCGAAGCACCATGTTTCGTTGTTTAGTCTTTATGCCCCAGGTGAAGAGTGTCAAGAATGCATGAGTGAAAGCTGATGTTCATATTGTGAGTTCGTTTGTCTGTGACATATTATGAAACTCAAGCAGGTTCTCAGCACACTTACAAGCAACACTGAATGCACAGAATGAGGACACACTGACAGCTCAACTCTGGAGTAGGTGATAGATACGTAGGTGATAGATCGATCGGTTATCGATAAACAGATGGATAAGTGGTAGAGAGATGATGCTGAATGTCTGTGTCTCCCCCCAGTCCACACGCTGAAGCCTCCCCCTGGATGCGATGGTGTCAGGACCTACAGGGGAGTGATCAGGTCATGGGATGGGGTCCTCACAAGTGGAGTGTGGCCCTTACAGATCCCAGGAGCCCCCTTCTCCTTCCCCCATATGAGGACGCAGAAGATGGCGTCTGAATCAGGAAGCAAGTTCTCGGCAGCCGCCGACTCTGCCAGCATCGGGGTCTGGGACTCGGAGCTTTCGGAGCCGCGAGCAGTCAACGTCTGCTGTGTGTAAGCCCCCCACCCGCACCCCAGCCCGCGGGGTTCTGTGAGAGCAGCTGGAACTGAGAAATACCAGTCGGTATGCAGGTAGACAGGCAGCGGATAGACAGACAGACAGACAGGGCTGAAAACTGCCCCATCCCCTCCCAGGGTGGGCCCTCCCTAGTCTGTTGGTGCCCAGCTCCGTTCTCTCCATCCGGCCTCAGGCGTCACACAAGGTGCATCTCGGTGTCCATGGTTTCCACGTGGTGGTGACGCCCAGGGGGGGACTAGAGCCTGTGCGTGCGGGCCCTCCTGCCTCCCAGAGGCGGCTCCCCCGCCCATGGCCGTCTGGTTCCTCTAGCTCGCAGGAGGGCTGAGATGCTGGGCCAGCCGCACGAGCTCGCTGGTCCTCATGGCTACCTTGCCTCTATTTCCAGAAGTAGAAGGAGTTTTAGAGGGTAAAGAGCTCACACCGATGCCTGACAACGATCCCGCCGTTGAGCTGGGCGTCACCCCCAGGTCCACCCGAGTTCTGGTTCCCGACCTTCCTGCGAATGGGGGCGGTGGGGGGGCACGATGAGCAAACAGCAAGGACTTGTGCGCAGTGTGACTTCTGGGAACCTCTTTCCAGGTGGGTTTTGGGAAGCTTGGAGTTTCCATGGAACATGGATTTAAAACTCCTCATGAATAAAGATCACAACAGAAGTCAATAAACCAGGACACAGACAATAGAGAAAATTAACAGAGCCCCACGCGGGTTCTTTTAAAAGGTCGGTTGAATGCAGCAACCTGTAGCAAGCGTCGCCAAGAAAAAAGGAAATTTTAAAAAAATCACAAATTGCTGAGATCAGGGATAACAGAAGGGATATCATTACGGATCCTGCAGGTTTTGAAACATCAGTTGGACAAGACCTTGGACTGAAAGACGAAGGGCACAGCCTCCAGCCTCCTGGCGACAGCGTTGTTCAGAGCTGGCGCTAAGCAACATCTCTGCATTATTTCAGAAAATACCCTTTGTGGTGTCCGTCTCTGGTTTGCCAAACAATAAAAACAGCTGGTCTCCACATCTGAGACATGAGTGGTTTTGACTTTGCAAAGCACTTCATAGAGGATTCTGCCTCTATTTCCTTAAGCAAAACAACAGCTACAACTTTGCAACAGAGTCACTAATACGTGGGGAAAAACACTTTCCTTTTGCAAAAGAGCCTGATTTGCATGGTCACTTAATTCAGTGAGAGGACTCTCTCCTGCATTGATGGGAATTCTCTACCTCCCCAGTGTCCCCGGTGTCCCCTGGTGTCCCCCAGTGTCCTTGGTGTCTCCAGTGTCCCCTGATGTCCCCTGGTGTTCCCTG